ATTCGCGGATATCCTAATTTTTTCGATAAAAAGATGCCTAAAATGAACAAAAAAAACTACTGTGAAAAAAATAAGATATGATTTTAAGATTGTGAAAGTCTGATTGGAGATATTCATAATTAATATTTGTAGTCTTCACCCCTTCTAAAGCCAATTTGTTAACTACCCCTTAATAAAATTGATACAATTTGTAGTAGACATAGCACTTCTATCCAAGACTCTTGAAAAACCTTAATCCACCACAAATTGTGTACTTTTTTTAGGCTTCACACCTTCTAAAGCTAATTTCTTAACTAACCGTTAATGAAATTGATACAATTTGTAATAGACATAACACTTCTATCCAAGACTCTTGAAAAAACTTTAATCTACCACAAATTGTGAATCTAGAAAAACAGAATCACTTCACCAATGAATCGATGTTAAAGACAAAAAACAAAATCATATCAAGTCTAGGTAATAAACACAAAGATATATTCCAACATCTTTCTTGAGATGATGCATATGTCTAGGTAAATTAAAATCATATTACAACTTCTCTGATCAATAATTTTTTTATAAATGTGTTTGATGCATTAAAAAAGACAATAAATCATTTTTTTAGGGAATCGTAGTGAATATTGATGAAGACATACAAGTCAGAGACTTGTGCCAAAGAAGATGTCTTCTATATGTTGTAATTTTATGAAAGGTCTATTTTTTTTTTATATAACATTGTATATGTCCAATAATTTGCTACAAGTGTTTAATCTTCTAATCTAGGTAATTATTTACTATAACATCAAATTTCTCTAATTTGTTAATAAGCTAGAAATTATTGCATATTATACAATATTTATTTTTAAACCCACGCAACGCGTGGATAATTCATAGTTATATCTTATATAATATAGTAAGGTTGCTCAAAATTCAGGCCATGAGAGGCTGCAATGTGTCCTTTAATATTTTGAATTTTTTTTTGGACGAGGAAGTGTCTTAGCACTCACACTAATCAACCAACATTCATGATAGACTACCAGGACGTGTTAAGAATAATTAAAGGTCCAAAGATTAGCTAAATTTCTTCATTGAATTTCAAGAATTATCACCAAACCATCTCAAGTTTGAGTAATAGACTAGCTTTTCTTGTAAAAAATGGTCAATTGTGTTTCTTA